TTTCTTCGAAGATAATCAATAAAAATTTGAAAACATGCTTTTTTCTCTATCTCTCTCTCTCTCTCTCTCTCTCTCTCTCTCAACTCTTTTCCAAATCACGTGTGAGGGTAAAAATGGAAAAATGTTGGACTTTTAAGTTTTTTTAATTCTTTTTTTTTACTTGATCAACGGCTATTGTCAAAAACTGGCCGGGGTCAACCGGATATTTTCCACTATTTCCTCCACAAAAATAGTCACTAATGCATATGTTGGTTCGTTTAGGCCCAAATTCATTTTTAGGGACTTGGAAAGGCCTTTTTTTTTTGTGGAAATTACATAAATCTAGGTGTTTAAAAATTAATTTTCAAAAATAAGGCTTAAGGTTACTTATTCAAAAATCAGGTAAAAATAACTAATACAAATAATAATATTAATAAATTAAATTTTCCATCTAATTAAAACACTAATTCATTTTAACACTCTTCTTCCCCCTCTCTTGTCTCCCTCTCTCTATCCTCTCCCCAGTTTTATTCGAACCCTAAATCGAGATTCCCCAAGGTGGTGGCGGCGTGTAGGCGATGGTGGCGATAGTTGAGTTGACTTTGGGTTGTTGGTTTGCAGATGGTGGCGGTCGTGCAGGAGATGATGGCGCTTCGCCTTGTGGAGGGCAGCGGCTACGATCTGTTCCAGGGAAGCGTCGAAGCCTCTGCAAGAAGAGGTGCAGCAGCTGTGCAGCGCCCTACGACGATCTATACTTTCTAAGCCGAGTCTGTCACAGATCGTCGGCGATCTGAAATTTTTATAGCAGCTCTGAGGTGCATCAACTGAGTGAGATAAAATAGAAACAGCTATAGCAGTGTGCGACAATCTGTTTCATTGGATAGATGGGGGATCTGGTGGTAGTGAGGTGGTGGTTTGGTTGATGAGGCAATGATGGCGGTGGTGATAGTGCTCGGCGCAGATTTGGGGATTTATTTCGGTGAGGATTGTAGTTGTGAAGTGATAGGCTGGTGGTGGTTGTGTTTGAGATGATGGTTTTTTTGTCAAAAGATGGTGGTTGTGGTTCGGCGATGGTTGCGGTGGCGATGTTATTGTGGGCAGTGGTTGTGGTGACGGTGGTGGGGGTAGTGTTTGTGACCAACTATTTGGTTAATCTGTGACCAAGTATCGGCAGTGGATCGGGTCGGGTCGGGTCGGGTGGGGTGGGGTGGGGTGGGGTGTTGGGTGTATGTGACCAACTATTTGGTTCAATGTGACTAATAATTATTAAACCGCGACCATAAAATTCGATAATTTATGATCAAAAAACAATGTGTCCAAGAAATTTGAAAATATGTGATCGATATATAAATTGCGACCTGTAATTTTTTTGATTTGTGGCCAATGAAATAAACTGTGACCTATAAAATTTTTGATTTGTGATTTCGAAATAATTTATGATCAATTAATTTGATAATATGTGACCTATAATTCACGTGACCGTAGAATTGTGAATTTGTTATATTTAAATAATAAATATTTTTAATTAATTTCTCAACACCTGATTTTTGTATTTTTTAAACTTCAAACTTGAATTTTGAATTCCTCAAACTTAAACCCTGATTTATGAATTCTTCCTCTTTTTTTTTGCCTTATTTTGGATAATTCTCTTAATTTTAATTAGATTAAGATTTTAATTCTGTTTGAAGTTAGTAGTTATTTTTAATTCTTATCATTGTCTAGATTTATTCGTTACTTAAGAGTTGAGTTATTAGCTAGACTTTATTTATTGCTTTAAACATGAGTGGTAAGCCTTATGACAATTAGTTGATTTGATTATAATAAAATTCATGAGAAGTTTCTTTCAAATATGGCCTCTTTCTTGACATTCGTGAGCGAATAAACAAGCTTGAATTTTTGGTGAGATTTTATTCTTCCTATAAACTTCCTGAATCAGTTTCTTTAATTCATCTATTCTTTAGGAAAAATATATATTCAACATTTATCTGAATCCCTATCTTTCACAAATTTGTCATTAACAAATGAAAGCTCTTAACGCACGCTTTTAGATTTAAAGATGAAACCTTGATGAGAATAAACAAATCGAAGTGGACATAATTATAAGTTATTCCACTAATGTAAGATCATTAAAATCAACAAATATATAAAATAGATTAATCACTTGTTTGGTGAGGATTAAAATCAGATTTTTAGGAAATTTTGATAAAAATTGAAATAACGTGCAATTGAAAAATTGTAGATCCCATAAAATATGTGATTACAATTATTTATTAACTTTGATTTAGATTAAAATATATATAGAGGCTAAATGTTCATAAATATTCCTTAATGTGCCGGTGCGGCTGGCTTCTTTTCAAAGAAAATATTAATCAATGTATGTGGCTTTACCATGTTTCATTGAGCTCCATGATGGATAAACACTCTTAATTTAAATTCAGAATCTTGATCATCACATAGTTATATGGGGTGGGAGAACTTTTTTAGCTCTTGTTTGGTAGATGTTAAAATAAGATTTTTAGTATATTTCGATAAGAATCGGTGAAATGTGTGGTTAAAAACTTGTGTGTCCAATGAAATACGTGGTTAAAACTAATTATTATACGCTTGATCAAAAGAAAAATTAAGTGCTCATTATACGCTTGATCATTTTCATTTAGCTGCACAATGAAATACTGCGATCTTGATTTAGAGATAGAATCTTGATCATTATGGGGTGATAAGAATTTTTTAAAGATGATTCGTAATAGTGGCTATATATTAATTAACATGTTTGATAAAGTAGATTCAATAGTACTATTCAAGAGAATTTGATAAGGAAAACTAACTGAAAGTTTGTTCATTCTATACAATTATGTCGAATATTGCATACCAAATGTTTCATGTAACAATATTTTGTAAACTCTTTGGTGTAGAACAAAACATAAAAGGCTTAGGGTCTAATATATAATTTGTTAGGAGTTTAAGGACCCTTGAAGCGAGAATATTTAAACCATAGCTATATCGAGTAAAATTAAACTAACTCTAATTCTTTCAATATGCTACTTAAGTAGCATGTTTGGCTAAGCTTAAAAAGTTAAATTAAGTAAATAAGTTTAATAAATTTTGACGCATTCATCAAAATTGAGAATAAGTTACTTCTTTTGACATTATTTATATTGTTACAATCAAATTTATGTAATTGCTTTAAGTTAAAAGCAGAACATGGTAACATATCCAAATATGTTTATAAATGACAAGTAATTAAAAGCAACTTTACTTATTTTTAAGCTTTAGTTAACATGCCCCTTTTGATATCATCAAACACAAGTTTTATTACCTCAAATCACCACGAACTTCGTGGAAAATAAAGAAATGAATACAATAAACTCTGTTAACGTTAACCATGGCAAACAAAATGAAAGAAGTAAGTTTCTGGACCACTTTACTCTCGGAGGGACACAAACTGATAAGTACCACAATTTACATCTACTAATAATGCTAAAAATCTTGATTAGGAGAAGATTTTTGCCCAATGCAAGTGCCTCTACACCCTGTATTGAAGTTGAATTATTTTTGCTTTCTAGTCATTGAACACTACAACATAGAATCTCAATCTATCCGAATAATTGTCCTGGTTTTGATATTGGCCTACAAAAGTTCTGCCAGAATAACCAAAAATGTATCAAACCACTAGAATGTCATCAAGATCTATTCCCCAAACTGCTCAGTCAATTTATGTAAAGAATTTCGAGAATCCATGAAATTGAAGTAACCATTTTATGTGCTTCTTTGGCGACCCGTATATGCACAATCTTCTCATTCGTGTAAGAGTTAGTGGAGTTTGATCCTTTTTGGCGAATCCAAAAAAACTGGTTGATTATGGCCTACATAGTAATGATTAATAATGTTGATTCTTCAAATTAATCTGTCTTAGTTCTTGATTAATTTATTTATGTTAACTGGAAATTTGATTAAGCTAGAACTTAGCTCCTGTTTGGTGAAGATTAAATTTAGATTTTTAATACATTTTGATAGAAGTTGATGAATTACGTGGTTAAAAATTTGTGAGACCCATAAAATAGGTGGTCGTTCTCAATATATGCGAGAGGTATGCACGTATGCGTGATTGATTTTTATTATGATACAGACGTACACGATTTTTTCTCACTTCTTGAATGGAGTCCTTTAAAAATTTAGAGTGAGCTAGTAAGCGTATCATTATCAAAGAGATAAATGTAATGTATAACTAGGCTCAACATAGTCCAACACCATTTATTAACTACAGATTGTTATTTTATGATTTGTGCTATGTACTCATTACTATGTAACACTATATTTATGTAATAAAATACACAATCACTAAGCAATGATGCTTATTTTATTCTAAGTACTTGTGACATAACATATTAACTAATAATTGGAGAACAAGTTAATTGAAGGTCCAAGAAATTAAATGATTCACCATTTAATTAATGGGGAAATTATTGAAAATACCCTTAATTCAACCATACCCTTTCCAAAATACTCCTTTTTACTATTCAACCTTA